TCTTTTGGCGCGGTCTCGCCCGGTCCGTTCGCCGTTACGTGTCCTCCTGCGATAAATGCCAACGTAGGAAGCGACCTACTGCGCCCCCGGCTGGACTTCTTCAACCGATCTCCATCCCAACCGAAACTTTCTTCCTGTGTTGGTATAGATCTTCTCGGTCCTTTTCCCGAGTCGAAATCGGGCAACAAGTGGGTCGCTGTTGCTATAGACTACGCGACTAGGTATGCCATCACTCGAGCGCTCCCCACTAGCACCTCTACTGACGTTGCGGACTTTTTGCTCCACGACTTCATCCTACAGCATGGCGCTCCTCGCCAATTACTCACAGATCGTGGCCACGCATTTTTGTCCTGTGTGATTGACGATCTTCTGCGCTCTTCCTCGGCGCACCACAAGCTGATCACTTCCTACCATCCCCAAACAAATGGCCTTACCGAACGGCTAAATCGGACCCTAACGGACATGCTCGCGATGTATGTGTCATCCGACCACCATGACTGGGACCTGGCGCTACCTCACGTGACCTTCGCGTACAATTCTTCGCGCCACGACACCACTGGTTATTCACCCTTTTATTTGCTTTATGGCCGTGATCCGACGTTACCACTCGACACCTTACTTCCAACCACTACAACGCCGTCAACCGAATATGCACGCGACGCTATTGCTCGTGCCGACAGCGCACCGTCAGATCGCCCGCTCTAGGCTTCGCAAGCCACCCAGAAAGCGATTTACGACAGCCGGCATGCTGACGTTCACTTCTCACCCGGTTCTCTTGTTCTCCTGTGGTGCCCAGTTCGTCGAGTTGGCTTATCAGAGAAGTTATTGTCTCGCTACATGGGTCCTTACCGTATCATCTGCCAGGTAACTGACGTCACCTATGAGATCATTCCTGCATCTGAGACCACAAGCCTGCCTGCAACCACACACAGTGATGTTGTGCACGTCAGCAGGCTAAAACCTTACCACCTGCCTACTGAAGACCGTAGTTAATGTGCACCGAGACGGCGCTTTTACCGCCGGGGGGGGGGGGGGGGAATGCTACGTAGCTGACATATCAGCGGTCAGAAGACGACAACGAGGAAGTGGTCTGTCGGTTGTGCGTGCTGTCCTCTATCTTAGTCGACGCCATACGCATTAGTTTGAATATAGATTTGAAATAGACACGCCTCGTGTCATTTTTACGTAACAATATATTTGAAGGAAAGCTTATACAGGGTGTCGCACGTAACTTTAGCCTGAGTTTAAAAATATGTCGGTACACGTAATTACGACGCGACCAAATGCATGTTACTCATCCGTTACCTGGAGGTAGTCAGACTATTTTTTCTGTTCTAAAATATTGCTTAATTAGATATGTTTAAATAACTAACTTTTCAAGAAACGAAGATAGATAAAACATTTCACTGACAAAGTTGTAGATCGGTTTGCAAAACGTCCGATTAGACAGTCTTGAATTTTATATCTGTTAGCTATTAGTGTTTTTCTGCTATTTGCAAATGCCTGCAAAATGCAAAAATACTACGTGCAAACTCGCTCGCGCATAAGTGCGCACGATGATTCTTGTGCTCCCTATCGTTCGGCATACGAACCACACCCTTCCCTCGCACCGGTTCAAGGCAGCGATAAGTAGTCACAGCAGTTATCGTTTTTTGTTGCCGATAGCAAAACGTGTTCATCGTAAAGTCCACCACCATTCGTTGCGGCCTTGCCAAGACAGCCCAATGGGGCAAATGCTATGGTTGTTCGTACGCGGAACGTTACGTAGCACTAGAATCATTGTGCGCACTGGCGCACGAGCGGGTTTGTAACGTGGTATTTTTTTAATTTCGTGGGCATTTGTAATTAGCAGAAAAAACTAATACCTAACAAATATAAAGTTCGAAACTGTTTAACTGGTCGTTTTGCAAACCGATGTACAACTTTCTCATTAAATTTTTTATCTATCCTCAATTCTTGAGAACTTAATTAAACATATCTGATTTAACAATATTTCAGAACAGAAATGTTAGTCTAACTCCAGGCAACGATGAGCAGCATGCATTTGGTTGCGACTTGATTACGTGTTCCGACAAATTTTTAAACTCTGGCTAAATTTACGTGTGACACCCTGTATATGTACACAGAAAATCATGCGCCACGAAACATTACATGTGGAGTATCAAGCTGCGGGATCATCACAATTTCTTAAATGTTGGGGTATCGTCTTACTTCTGCAATCATTGCCACGAGTGTGCTTGCGCTCCTTCTTTTGAGCAAACATCAATCATCGATCGCCATCATAATCAATGGACATGTGAACTTGTGGAAGCTTACTACATAGCCAAGTGCAATTGCGGTAGCCAGCCATGTGTGGCTTTATCAGAGCAAGAAATTTGTTTTATCGATCGGATGTAATCTTGCATGGCGCACGATTATTTTATACGTATATACGCTTTCCTTTAAATCAATTTACAGTAGTTAGACCAGCATTTGTCCTGTTTCCTTGTCTTGTGCGTTTCCTTTTGTGCGCTGCCCAATTACGGTTATGTGGGTTGTTGCCGATAAGAACAAAGCAGTTGTTATATAGTAAGCACCAATGCTCGTATCTTCTATCTTTTGTGGCCCGTCTTGGCTTGCGCTGACGCTTTCACCTTACGTGTTCTGAGCCCAACAGAAGTTGGCTGGTTGGTTGTTCCTCGGAGTCCGGGCACAACCCACCCTGGGAGATGGGCCAGTGAAACGGACGGTATCTCATTTGTGAGATCGAATTATTTTACCAAACGGGATATTTCGAATGTGGATGTTTAAACAAAGAACAGATTGGTAAACGATGGATTAGAAATAAAATCAATAAAAAAAAAACGAGCAAGCTATTATGGTTTCAAATGAAGCGAATTTATGCTTACATTCTATTTGTTTTATGTGCCTTTAGAAAATCGCATACGCGTCCTCGCAAACGTTCCTGTGGCTAAATACCTTTTCAGTAGCTCTAAAGGAAAGAACCACCGGCAGGGATAAATTTGGAGTCAACCTACGGAGTTTCAGGAACCAACGGGTGCTCTCTTCGTTTGCCTTTTCATCTGCTGCTTCACTGCTAAAGCTAGTGTGACGGTTTGTCCAGCATAGAATGAGATCACTTTGAGGGGTGAGAGATCGTGTATTGGGAGCAAAATAAGCGGAACGAAAGCAATGGAAAGAAAATGGGATAAAAACATAAAAATTTAGAAATGCATAGCAAAAATACAGACAGAGAGAAAGAAATACAAAGAAACAAACACAAAGAAGGGATAAATAAAATATAAAGCATACGCATGTACAGTACAGTGAGAAAGGGAAGTCAATGTGACGAAGAGATAAAAGAGAATAGTAATGCAATAAGCGCCGCCTATTCTTTGCAGCAGTTACAAACGTTGGCGTTTGTAACTACGGCGCGATTTGAAAAAATTTCCCACTACGGACAATTTCCCTCAGCCTGCGTTGCCAGCTTCTGAGTTCTCTCACCTCAATTATCTTTGGAAAAATCGATGCTCCTCCTTCAGGAGGGCCGAGATATCAGTTACCAGAATACAACGCTGAGTCCCCCCCCCCCACTGAGTATTTACCTACACAGGTCTGGTCAGGTGCAGTCCCCTCTAAGCCTTCGTTGCAATGAGAGTGAATCTCTGGATTATTTCTTTCTCTGATTGGTGCAGATTATTCACCAATCAGGGGACAAGCTTTCTGATGAACCACTTCGAAGGTTGAGGTCAAATTTATCCCTTCGGTTTCTTCTTTCTTTTGGGGCTACCATGCTGGGTTTCAGCCACAGGGGCGTTTGCGAGGCCGTATGAGATTCTCCCACGAGATACGAGACGAATTCGTTGCTAAGTTCGTTGAAATCAAACTTCATTCTCAAGAGAAATTGCCCATTTTCTTTATATTCAATAAAATAAATTGAATTTAAAGGTTATCAAAATCAAACATATTCGTTAAGACTATAGTCTTTTTTATTGTGAAATAATGTAACGAATGATTTCAAAACTATCTATTTGCTTATCATGTTAAAATTAGGAACAAATTTTATTTATAGCAATGCACCGCTCGTTTTATGGCCGCTACCCCATGATTGGCTGCGCCAAAATAAAGGGGCAATCAATCAATCCATATTCGCACCACTAGCGTGTAACTGACCCAATTTTTATTATTTTGTCATCATGCTGGGAGCAAATGAGTTGTCTTTTTTTTCCTTCTTATATGCGCGTAATATGCAAGATGTAACGTTTAGCGTGATATTTGTGGGAAAGTGTTCGTTGTGTTAACATCACTGAACCGCAACAAACTCGACACTTCACAGTTGCCCCGTTCACGGAATTGTGTTGTCTTTCAATGCATCCCTGAAACGACGAGGAGTCATCGACTCAAGTATTCTCCTCACTGTCCGTGATGGCGTCGACACCCAAGACATTGTTACTGGACGCCCCGTGTTTATCTCGGCGGCTTCGAGTAACCGACTTTCTGCACTTCCTCGCATGCCCGACTACCTACCCCAAATCGAGAGAGAACACGATGCATTGGCAAGTGCCCTGGGGAGGGCCGCTGAGGTCGCCCCGCACGTACGGCACAGATTCCAGACCCATCCGGAAGTCGTCCAGTAGGAAATTGCTTCGATCAAAAATACTTTTCCCCTTCGGAGCCGTGAGGCGAAGACATACAGATAGGGTCGCGGCACGTGCGTTCGAACCAACCACGTGAAAGGAAGAACGTGAACGCTCCCCACTCTTTCTTACTAGAAAAAAAAAATGAGCAGTCATTTCTCGCAGACACGCTATCTGAAGAAGGCAGGAACTCGAAGTACACAAAGGGAAACGAATAGATAGCTGCATGTCTTGACCCCCGGCCCAACGGAAAGGCGAGGCCAACGCGACAGGAAAGAGAAAGCGAAAACAAGAACAGAAACCGGCTTTGCGACCGGCGCGCCATGGTGCGTTGGACAGAACCGGCATACGATGTTTCACAGTCTGCCCGGTAGGATAAGCTGACGTCGCGAATGAAAATGGCGGCGCGCGCTTCCCGTCTGCTGGCTCGCATCCACATATTTTGAGTGTGTGTTACGGCTCGGCGGTGGCTGTGAAAAGTGTGCCCCCTTTGGCGGCGAAGAAAAATCTTGTCTGCCGTGCCCACCTGTGGATTACTCCTCGCCGAAACGACTCTACCTTGCTTTTGGATTTTAATCGTCGCGGAAGGAAACATGGGAGGCTGCCGGCACTACTCACGGTGGGTGTGGATGCAACTCCCCGAGTTCATCGCATGTCATTCACCGACTCGGCCGCAGTATTTGTTGATGCTGCCTCGCGCAACCGTTACATGCGTCCGGGGAGCTTAAACGGTGCAGCACAGCTCGTAGCGTGTTTTTCAGCATGTTTTTCCTTCGCCGGGGGCGATGCTCCTGCCTTCGAAACAGATCGCGGCAGTCGATACCGAATGTTAGCGTCGCTGAATTGAGGGCTGTGTCAGTTTCTTTGCAATTGAGCCCGGTGCTCATTCTAGCCGGAGCTGTGTGCTGCATTCATGCTACTAGGACCTGTTGTTGCTTCTTTGGGAATGTGTTACTCTTTTTTCTGGCATTTTATAATCAAGTAGTGAATGTTGCATATGGGCCCACAGGGCGTAGTTGGAAGCCGCGCTGACGGCCAGCGTCGAGGGATTTCTATGTCCTGGCGAGTGGCTCTGTCCGCGGGCGCTGGCTTTCTCCGTTTGCAAATTTCGACCGATATTGGCGCCTGAAGCACTGCGCGTTTACTCGCTGGCCCTTCGTTGACTGGCCGGCGTGAGTAGCGCGAACGGCGCCGGCCCGCACGAGTCCGACGTTCGCTGCCTTTGCGTGCCCCGATGTCACCCGAGAGAGCCGTTGCCGCCGGTGCGTGTGCGAGGCGAGGGATTGCGATTTGTTCGCGTTGCTTACTATACGTAGAGGCTCGTTTTCGCGCAATGAACCCGGAAGAAGTGGTGAGCGAAAGCGGACCCGCTTTGTTGCACGTTTGCGCTTTTGGCACGGATGATTGCTTGTGGCAGCAATGCACACCGATGCTCAGTGGAGCGTCGCTGATTGCAGCGCTGCGCATCGTCGTCTGTCGATAGACGTAACCGTTAGCGCCGCTTTCATGGCGTGTGGGCGCGCACGGGCACGGCAACTAACTCTTGTCGCAACTGTTGCTCCAAAAGCGGGGGACTGATCAGCAATTGGTGAAATGCGTAGGGGCGTCAGTTGTGAGTGACGAGCCGTAGTCGTTGTATGCAAGTTCCCAGCGTTGAGTGACCGGTTGTTTCATGAACTATTTTTTTTTTTTTGTAGGTCTCAAATGCCACCGAAGCTCGGGGAAACACTAAGCGCAATCTTTCATGATGGGCTTAGAGAAAAGTTTAACTCAAGCTGAATCCGAATTGCGGCGCGTTGCTTAGATCGATGATCAAACTCGGCCAGAATTACACGCGACAACAAAGCACCCCTCGTACACATCTTCACGGAACAAGGTAGCGTGCGGATGAGGAAGAACGAGCCCTTCCCTCTCCGACGCTGCGCCGTGCTCCCTCAAGGGATGCACATATAAGCGTCTTATTCTTTACCTTATCACTACCACCGCCGCCCTATTCTTCCTCTTGGCGTGCTACGCGAAGCGCACGCGGCGCGTGCTTTCGTTTGCTTTTGTGACCGAGCTGTCAACGGCGGTGGTGCGGCCGCCTTCTGTCTTCGGACCGCATTCCCCCGCTCCGCGGAACGAGTTTTGCCAACTTTGTTTCTGTTGTTGTTAAACTGCCGCTGTGCCGTTGCACGATGGAGCAGCTGTTGTGGGGGGTCGCTATCTATCGTGCGGGCGAGGTGATAATTCAGCCGGCGGGCTCGCTGGCGTCGCTTGCAGCACTGAATCGCTTTTGTTTACTTTCCCTCGTTTTGCGAATCGGCGCGTGTTGGGCCGCACGAACGAAAACGGCCTACTTTTAGCGCAGCTGTCGGTGCATTCGATGGCCAATACGTGTGTTCATGGAGCCAGTACGGTATACATTCGTCCACTGTGTTGGCCCGGAAGAGAATGTACTGATGCAGCGTGTAGTTTTAGTCGTCTATGAGGTACTACAGAAATGAATGCCGACTACGAGGCACAGCTTCAGCGCCAAAATAAAGATATAGGGGCTTCATAGCGATGAGCGCAGTAGCTAAAGCGTGACGAGACTTCGAGGTGCTGGTTTTCACGATGGTCTTGCCAGCGCCACTTTGAAAACACTGTGCCCGATCGAGACTCGTTATTTGTCATTGCTGGTAACGAGATCGCAGCGTGTCGCCGTTTCGCAGCCACTCGTGATTGTTTCCTTCTCTTCCGCGTTTCCTTTTCTAGGCGAAGTATGCGTTGCGTTGATAACCGTACCGCTACCACTTCCCGTTTCTTGCTGTCGATACTTCTTCACATGCACAGTCGTCAGCAAGCTTAACGCGAACTTTTCGCAGCGTGTCCTGAAAGAGTTTGATTGACGCTAGATCCGCGTAGCGTTGGGTTCTGTCGCTGACGTGTTACCTATGCATGCCGACATACTAATCAAGTATACAGCCTTATTATCTCGCCAACAGCGCTTCGTAGCTGGCATCACGCAAAGTAGTCCAGGTCAGGCATGGGAGCGTTCTCGTTGATCTTGCTGACGACTGCACTAACGTTAATGCATACGTTGCTTTTATGAAAGCGGTAATTTTCATTGCGCTTGCACTAATGCTGCGCTGAAGTGGCCTGTTGGGACTACGTTGCTACTGGCACGTGAAACAGATCTGGCATTCGTAATGAAGGCAGGCCTGTTGCAGGAATTTTCAGGGGGGGGGCGAAGAGGGGGGGTACACCATTGATCGATTATGTGGGGTTTACCACCACATGATTATGAGAGACGCTGTAGTGGAGGGCTGCGGAAATTTCGAACACCTGGGATTCTCTAACGTGCACTCAAATCTGAGCACACGTGGGGCCCACTAGCTGAAGGTATTGACATTCTGAGTGAAACAAGCTATTTTTTATCGAACACCCTCCCCCCTGTCTACTCGACGGAGTGAAGTTGTGCGTCACTAAGCGATTATCTCTTTTTGCAGATCACCTAACCGTCCAAGTGTCCGAGTATCTGGTGCGATTAGACAGTTAGTGCACTCTCCGTTAATGTTCGCTTATCAAAATGCCTATAAAAGGAACACCAGCAACTTACTGTTAAATGTGTGGCCGAATTTAAAGTAATATGCGAAATAGTTCGGCACCGTTCTCCATCCAAGTAACAGTAGTAGGCCGGTTTTTCGAGGAAGAGTGCCTTAAAGGGACCGACAACTGCCCAGAACATGAAATGAGACGACTGCACGGATAGAAAGATTGTCCCTTATAGTAACTCAAACCAACCCTGTTTTCCTAGTGAGAAGATGATTTTTAATTTTATTTCTTCATGGAAAATCGCGAAAAATGGCCTGTGGTGTCTCTAGTGGCAAAAACATAAACTATCTCGAATTTCCTGTCACGTGGCCATGCGTTAATGTACACGGACAACGTTTTGATTAGTACTGAAATATTACTTGATTCTTTATATCAAAAGATAATATTGTATAAAAGTATACGTATAAGCTTGCGTTAGTAGTACGCATTAAAGTGGCGCTGCCTTTGCGTGACATATGGGCAGTTGCGTTTTCGATTACTTGGCTTGGCGACGCGGTACAAATGCAGCGAAGCTCTATACAGCCTCACCGTCTCATTGTAACGGCTTGTTACTTTCAAAAATAGTTGTAAAGCGCAGAATAAACGAGGTTAAGCATAGTTCCAGGAAATCCTGTGAAATAAGAATGACAGCATGCGTAAAGCCACCAGATAGGCTACCGACATCGCAATCAATACTCAGCGTTGCCGAATGAAAAGGCACTACCGTGTTCAGAGCCTTTCAGATTGAGAAATACTGCTTATAAAATGACTACGAGTTCATGGGATTAACTACTGCAGCTATGATCACTACGAAGGGTGAGCTTTCTGTCGCGCAGGAAAAAATGGATCGAAAAAAGTCAGTTGTCGGTCCCTTTAACGCGCGCACTTATGATAGCAATCGGGCCTGATCCACATCAAACTTCGCGATCGTGATTGGCCCCTTTGCGCAAACTGCAAATTGGGAGCTAATGGTTGTTGACCAATTCGATTTAAGCGGCCCCAACACAACCGGTAATGCGCTTCGTCATACCTGTATTGAAATACTTTATGGACGCATTTTGCGCACCTGTAAGCATGGTGCGATTCTGCTTGGACCTCTTTTTGGCATATTTTCTCTAAAAGTAGGGGGCCACCTTCGTTGGCCTACGAGGGTCGCTTGAATGGGTCGTGAATCGCACCGGAAATCTCGTTTGACGAAATAACTGGCTGCGACCGGATTTGTTTCTTTTTTTTTATGGTTAAACCATTACTGTGCAGTGCTTAAAGCGACACAGTGACCCAACAGTTTCCGGTTTTCGGCGAAATACATAAGTGGAGGGTCTAAGATGCCTGTACATGCATGCTCGTTGAATTGGCACCCGTTCATTCGGAAAAATCAGGTAATTCAGAAGCGCTCTCTGGTCTCGGCCAGCATATAAGTATACGTACATTGTTCACAGGCATCAAACTCTCGTTAAGCCGGCTCCCTTGGTCCTATCCGGTTACTTTGGACGACCCTCGTAGCGCACGAAGCGCCGCCAATATGCAACGCAAAGGAGGGTAAGCGGCGTTCACGGACAGCCGAAACGACTTCCAGAAAGACGCGCTTTTTAGCCTCTCACCTGCTACGGTGGTCTTTGTAGGGGCTTATGCTCGACAACTGCTGACTCGCAGGTCGCGGCATCCAATCTCGGCCGCATATGTAGTGGTGACGAAAGTGTTCTAGGCTCGTGTGCTTAGATTCATAGGCGTGCGTTAAATAACTCTATAGGTGGTTGGAATATTTGGAGCGCTCTATTACGGGGCGCGCTTCATGATGTTATTGTGGTTCTGGGGCTGTCACCCACAATCGGGTTGTTTGTAAGTAATGCGACATGAAGCACGTTTCAGTTTAAAATACGAGGTTTGAGCCACGTTGACGTCGCACATGAAGTCGCTAATAACAAAAAAAAAAAACGCCTTATGCACTTCTGTAATAAAAACTCGTTACTGGATTTACGTATTCCTCAAGTAAACGAAAGTACATTAATCAAACAAGCATTTCTCTATTGTTTTTTATACCTTTGATGATTAGATGACCTTTTT